AGAGGAGCAGAACCCCGACAACAAGTTTGGGGGGGGGGGGGGGTGTACTCATAGTCGTGCATGCCGTAGTCGTTAGACCACTGGCCTCGCATCCCTACAAAGCCGGGACGGAGCACGCCGGGTTGTCACCGGACCAGGCTCTCACATCACCAAGCGCGAAGCGCCGTGAGGTATTCGGCGAGTCGCATGAAGGGTGCGCTGCATCCTGCTAAGGGTGTTCGGCATCATGTGCTTACTTCTTTGCTTACGGATGACAGCTGCGTATGACTTAATTTATTTTCTGGTGCTTTCCCTTCCAGAGACAGTTATAAGCGCTGTGTAACTGCCTCGAGGGTGCTTGACCATTTTAACACAACGTGGTGCGATCATCCCCTTTGCGCGGAGTGAGGGTTCTCGACCCCGCACAACATGATCTACTCGACCACCATTATGGTTACCGCCAAAAAACAAACAAACCAAAGGCAAAACAAAAAAGCGGACACCTGGTTGCCGAGCTCACGAAGTGATCGGCTTGTTTCACAACATGGCTGCCAAGGGACGAAAACCCAATTCCGATGGCAAACACCAGGGGGGGGGGGGGTGTACTCATAGTCGTGCATGCCGTAGTCGTTTGGCCATTGACCTCGCATCCCTACAAAGCCGGGACGGAGCACGCCGGGTTCTCACCGGACCAGGCTCTCACATCACCAAGCGCGAAGCGCCGTGAGGTATTTGGCGAGTCGCATGAAGGGTGAGCTGCATCCTGCTAAGGGTGTTCGGCATCTTGTGCTTACTTCCTTGCTTACGGATGACAGCTGCGTATGACTTAATTTATTTTCTGGTGCTTTCACTTCCAGAGACAGTTGTAAGCACTGTGTAACTGCCTCGAGGATGCTTTACCATTTTAACACAACGTGGTGCGATCATCCCCCGTTGCGCGGAGTGAGGTTTCTCGACCCCGCACAACATGATCTGCTCGACCACCATTGTGGTTACTGCCAAAAACAAAACAGAGGTAAAACAAAACCCGGTAACCTGGTTGCCGAGTTCACGAAGTGAATTGTCTTGTCTTACATCGTCGTTGCCAAGGGACGAAAACCCAATCCCGATGGCAAACACCGAGGGGGGGCTTGTCAACGTCGTTGCCAAGCGACGAAGACCCAACCCCGACGGCAAACACCGGGGAGGGGGGGGGGGGGGGGGGGTTGGCGGGAGCTGACTCTACTAGTACTAGAGAGAAAGGAATTAGCGAGGTAGCAGAATGGAAGAACACGGAAGGAAAATTCCCTGTTGGGTCACGGCACGCTGGCAACGGCATTGGGCACAGTTAGATTCTGGGTCCACCAAGAACCAAAGCTTTGTGTGGGCATGGCATGCACTGTCGACAGCTCAACGGGCGGGGCGGTAGTGTGAGTTCTGGCTTGGCCAGCAAGATGAGCGAGTGCAGTCTAGGTGGAGGCAGACGCAGAGACTGAGTCATGTACCTGGGTGTGCTGAAACCACCGCCAAAAAAGATTGCAATGAGGCCGGCAGACACAACATCCTTGAGCAATTAAAAGGTTCCCTCTCGTCTACGCCATTGATTGCAGTAACCCGGTGGTCTGATGGAATGCTATGGTGTGCTCTAGGGTTGGTGTTTCTGGTGGAATGTCCGTGCTGGCAGGATTCCCTTCGCTGCTGGTAATATCAGACTGGAGAGAGGAAAACTTGACCGAAGATGTCGAAGTTCATGCGAGGGGTTGGCGCAGAAGCCGTAGCGGCGGCAGGAACATCAATAACAATGGTCACGGACACACAGGTTGCAGTAAGAACAAGAACAACCACTGGATGCTTATGGCAAAAAAAGATCAAAATCGGACTCTTCTCTGTCCTCTCGACATGTTGAGCACCTCTTTACAGCACACCTGCTACCGTTCCCCACGGGCAAGGCCGGAACGTTCCTCCTTAGGGGCTTTATACTCACCGACCAAGCACATCCGTCAAACGCAAGGGAACCTGGCTCTCCGGACTAGTCTTGACGTTCCTGGCATTCTGAAGCACGCCAACGTTGACAACGGATATTCTCACGTGGGCCCGGTCTATTTGCTGTTCGTGGTTGAAGACCCGGGTGACGATCACGTTCTCGAGGGTCTCGGTGGGGTCTAGCCCGAACCGTTCCGCGATGGCCTCCACGCGTTCCGGCCGGAAGTTCCCTTCCGTGTCCATATAAACAACCTGGGGTTCGTCATGGAAAAATACAGTGAAACCGGTTGTCAAGGCGTTGTGCATTCTGTTGCTGTCGGAGGTAGTTGTCCTGAGTCCGCTGAATCTAAGGTGGGGAAAAGAGCGGAGAGATCCTCCGAGATCGATCCATCCGGAGCCCCCCCTGCTCCGTGTCCCTGAACGAAGGCGACACGCTAGAATGATCGGCCTGGTGTGGGCTGCCGGGCGGCGTGTCGCGTGGTTTCGAGGCCATGCGGTGAAATTATGGGTCGTTGGCACCCATCAGGCTTGTTTTCTAGGCGGCTGTTTCGAGGTGGACGACAACCAGCTTTCACACAGGACACTTCGAATTTGACATCCTATGTCCCTTCTTTCGAGCCGGAAAAGTTCGGCGTTGGTTGCGCTGTTAATCCTCCTTCGTGTCTTATCGTTGTATGTGTTATTGCGGGGCAGATCGGTCCCTTCTACTGAATACAGTTAGAGCCCGCAATTAAGAAACGCTTGTTTCAGGTCCAGCCTCGAATTCTTAAAATGTGGGCTATAAACTCAGCGTATGTCGTTCAGTTTCTTATATCATGTTTCTTATTTGGTCAAGCCTTCACGAGAGCTGGCCGAGAGCACCATCAAAGCCGTGTACAGCAGACAGCATGTCGTGATTCGCAGCCTGTCTGGTGTGCTGTGCCAGAGCTTTAGCGCCTGCAGAGCAGAGCGCAGAGCCCGCAGGGGGGCGGAGGGGGCGCCGCAACAAAAAACACTCCCCCCTCGGCGTAAAACTAATACTAATGCACTATGGGAGAGGGAGAGGGGGAAAGAGCGAGAGAGCTGTGGGGTTTGTTTCTCATTCGACACATTCCCCCGTAACCCCTCGTTTCTTATGTAGTAGGGCAGCGGTCGCTGCTGTGCTTCTTATTGAGACATTTCTTATTGTGTGACCCAGATTGAGCTATGTTTCTTAACCCTATTTTCTTATTTTTCGTGAAAAAGTGAGCCTATATTTCTTTAAAAAATAATTCTTAATTGCGGGCGCTAACTGTACATACGATGATGCAAACTATATCCTCTGACGTCCCGTTAAGGGCGAAGGATTTAGTTTTCCTTGGTCAGGGGACCACCTCCAAAAGAGGCACAACCAAAAACAACATAACATCTCTCTGTACTCAACCTTCACGGCCTCGGGTGGAATGAGGTAATTGTCGACGGTCAACGTTGCCCCCGATGGCGCAGCGCCGGTTCGATACAACTCAAGCAAAGCGGTCTGAATGCGCGGATGTTTTCGGCGTTTGAAACGAGTGTCTAGCAATCGCAAAACTCGAAATTGTCGAAACCGAAGGCCTCACCCTGCCGCGATTTCCTCATTGAAGAGTGGGGAAAGCGTGTGAAGCGTGAAGCTGTGGGTGCGTTGTGCAGGCGAAACCCGACACACTCTTTGCCAATGTCGGCTTCGTCCAAAACGAAGGTTTTCAGATTTTGACGTGAGAAGCAACGACCAGTAGGGAGACAGGTTCTTTATCGACCAGGTTTCGTCGACAAAAGCATTTGAAGCTTGTGAGGATCGCGTTACAACACATACGAGTGTTTGAACGCGGGGTCAGATGTTTCAAGCACCCCCATTCTCATCGGCTTTGGTTTGGCCCAGTGTGTGACGACCAAGAGCAAAGCTTTGCCTCGATGAGGTCATCTACAGCATTGCCGCTAGAACCACCACCACCACCACCGGCGACAAAACAGAAATGAAACCCTTGCATGGAGACATTGCACGCCCCTCCTTGGCCTTACCCTGCCCTCCGCTCCGCCCGACTCCTTGCTGAGCTGCGATGTGACACACAGGGTGTGGCAGAGCTGGGTCTTGCCGGATCTGAACTCCCCGAAGAACTCCGTGATGGAGCCGGTCTCGATGCCGCCGCCCAGAAGAGCGTCCAGCTGCTTCGAACCGGTGTGCACCTGCTCCCCGGGATCGGGAATGAGGGGGGGGATAGGGGAAAAGTCGACGACATGGAGTCGGCGGGGGGTGGACGGGGTGAGCGTGCTCGCTCGGGTTGATTGTCGAGCTGTCGCTGGAACTTTGGCTACGCGGTCCTTGAGGGAGGATCGGCGCTCTTATTCCTCAATGGAGAAACTGTTAGCCTTTCCGGCGTGTTCAAAAATTCTTGCTTGCCTGATTCCGTCAGAAAATGAGCACCACGCCAGATTATGGTGACCCTCATGCGGTACAGTACGTTCTCGTAACTTGCGGCACACGTTTAGGACCGCAAAACTCTACAGTAATTCAGAACGATATGGAAATCTCAGTGCTTGGTTGGGAATCAGAGTGGGCGATGGAATTGCGATCAACCGCAAGTGGGTTGCCGTGCAGATTTCTCATGGGTTAGAAGTGAAAATCATTCAGGGAACGCGTGGCACTTCAGTCCAGCCTGGAACAAACGTACTGTCGAAATTGCAAGACCGGGTCCGTGCACCACCCGCAAAATGTGTACCGACATCATACATGGATTCACTCTCATTCTTTCAACATCTGACCTGATCTTGTCATTTGGTCATTCTACAGTACGTCTGGAAATGACGAAGCATCTGACGTAGTCTTTGCGGGAAAGGAAAAAACTCGAAGGGCGACAACAAACGACAAGGCAACGAACGATCTTGTCATGTTTTGTTTTATGTTGCTCGACAAATGGTGATGAGAGATGGCAATGGGACAATAACGTAGACTTGGACCTCCGAAGGAATCCGTGCGTTTGACCAGGTCAATTAATCTGAAATACCAAGAATGACCATGAAAGCTGGTGTTGGACGCAAGACAGTACGGCTACCCGAGCGACAGGCGAAGTGAACGTCCATCTATTGTCTGGCCTCCCCAAATCATGTTGGCCACAAATTATGCCTGGTTTCAATGATTCGAATTGAATGTTTGGCACACAGAGTGAATCTCCCAACGATGCCAACCTGATGCATCATGTATTGCTCTGTTCTTCAACCATTGTATCCTCAACCGACACTCACCATGCTTGGGGTTTCGTGCCACCCGCTTGGGATTGCGTTGACAATGGGAGGTCATTATGACGCACTACCATCCTTCGAGTACGAAAAATTCATTCTTACTTCATATCCCTTCCTTCGTTGCCCTTGACCGAGTCTAACTCAAAGGCATCGAAATAATAACATAGTGAGCATTGGCTAACACATTTGTTGGAAGTTGGCAGAACAACCGCTTCTCCTTCCGAACACACAGCGGGCATTGGAGAGATCGCCCAAGCGTTGTTTGAACTTGTCACCTTGATAACTTTCTCTCGGGCTTGACGGCACTGAAGTCCCGTCTTGAACATGCCCGACGAACCAGAAGTGTCCACCTTGGCCGCGGCAAGCTGGATCTTGGCGACAGTGGCATCGCTAAAGCCCCGGATAGTCAGCAGGCGCTGAAAAATGCAAGTTGTGACGGCAAAGTTGCGCGAGATTCACACATGCATGTACGAAAAGGGATTGATTCATAGTTCGAGATATATCTACTGTAGGATTTCGTACGGACTATGACCACAGGGGAAGGTGACACTGTGAATGAAGTACATAAGCTCGTTGGGTATTCAGAGTGAAGGGACAACGCTACTGCTATGCTGTACAACGGAGGCGCAGAAAAGAGAGAAACTAGGGGCACACCGAGAGCCCGAAAACTAACGCGCCTTGGTTGGGGTGGCGAGGACGGCCCCGACGGTGGCAAGGTTGGCTTCCTTGAGCTTGTTGATCTCGGCCATCTTGATGCCTGCGTTGGTCAGTTCTTCCACACACTGGGTTGATTGGAATAAAAGAACCGATATTGAGGTGGGTAGCGGCGCACAACCGAGTAGCGCGACGAGGGACAGTCAGCCGAATCATGGGGCTGGCTTCCATCTTGTGGTTCACACAGACATGCCAACCCTCTGTGCTAGAAGAAGAGCGTTCGTCACACCGGCTGGGTAATATTTCGCCGCCGCCTTTCGTGTTCATGAGAAAAGTGAATATCTGAACCTCACGAGGACATTGTGCTCGGGTATCAACTTGTTGAATTTTCAGGCAATCAACACTAAGAAACAGCTTGGACTTAACTATACAACAATGGGTATGTAGTGTGACGGGGTATTTTTGTCCCTGAACACCAAACCCTGATTCTTTCGAAGGCAAGTGTCTGAAATACTGTAGCTCATGCGCTCTATGCTCAATGTTAGGGGAACAACAGCCGTAAATCAGTAGAGAGGTGCATATAGGCAGCAGTTCCGCTACCGGTACATGCGGCGCAGCCTAAGGGAATAGTTTCGGACAACGTTAATAAACGTGGAAGTAACTCATTTCTTATTTGGGCCGAAGATTGACGGAAGTCAGTCGCCTTTGATCCTCCTCTGCCTACCTGGAAGCTGTCAACATCGTCGACCTCTTGGTCTTCATTCTGCTGCTGCTGCTGGTTGCTGTTTCTACGAGACGCCTGGGCGGAAGCCATTTTCTCCTGTTACTGGCTGGCCTGTGTGCGAATGCAGAAACACTTATCTCAAAGTTTTCATATGGTTTTCATTTCTTGATTCGAGGTATTTTTATATTCTGCAGCATGCACCAGTGGGATATTCCAGTCTACGCGGGCTGGTCGGTTGTGAATGACATGCGTGAGTAGCGACAGAGGACAGCGTGGTGCGAGCGTGGAAAGTAGTTCATCGACGTTTGTTTGGGTGTGAACCCCACGACAGGGAGTGATGTCGCAGAATTGAAAGCTGAGAGGCAGATAGGCAGATGAAGTATGTGGTTGGGGAACGCCGCTCCCGGTTAGTTACAGTAGGTCGAAGCTTCCGAGGCAAGGTGTTCGTGGGATGCCACTTCGATCAACTCGCGATCAGAAATGAAGAACGCGCGGAAAACTGGAAGACGCTTCGAGTGCCTTCGGTAGGAAGGCCGAAATGAAATGTGAGTAATTTCTTGCCAACGAAAGATGGATCACAACAACGCTCAAAAAATATTTTTCAAAAACTCGCCGCGCTGTCTTCCTGGAGAGCGAAACGGATCAAGACACAAGACTATTGCGCGCGAGATGCAAGTGAGGTGCATCTGAGGGCGGACACATCGAGCTGGTCTCCCACTTTCTTGCAAGACAATGCAATCTGTGTGGGCGTCTGGCTCCCTTGCTTGCCCGTTTCCATCTCTTGGAATATGTACTCCTTTAGGGAGACAGAGGAGGCTCTCCAAACGCACAAACAACTAAATAGACAAAAAAATGCAATGTGCGAGAGAGACGAGTGCCCGCGCGCTACAGGAACAGTTGAGGATGCTGCTGAAGACGGAGGGGCACGACAACTCACGTTTGAGGTATGAAGCGTCCCTGGTGATTGCTGGCTGGGTGTGTGGCGATTGCTCGCTGGGGCGTGTGGCGATGGAATGAGTTTGTGCACGGTGGTGTGTGACAAGAAAGTTTTTTTTTCTTTGCGAACTTTTTTTTTTCTCCGAATGCCGCTATTTTTATTGCAACTCCCGAAATGGGCCGAAAATCAAAAAATACCACCTGCTCTTTTTTGCGCGCGCTGCGCGAGACAGCCTGAGAGAGGTGAAGAGACATCAGCCATAGCTGAAGGCGACGCTGGTGCTCGTTCTCTTGGAGTTGCTAGTGCTGCCTTGAATACACTGAATCCGATGGCGTTTGAGGATGCCGCCGCTGGTAAGGGTGGTGATTTAGATGTCGACCATGAGGCAACAACGGCAGCACCAGGTTCATCAAGCGATGACGATACCAACGCCAAGGCAACCGCCGGGGGGATAGGCCCCACGGCCACCTTCCGATGTGTCAGCTGCGCTGATGAGATGGTGAGATCCGTGTTGCGGCAGGTGGTGCCAGGCGTGGTGCGGTGTGTTGGCATGAAGGTTGAAATCAACAACCACAGACACCGCAAAAACTCCAAGCATAACTGCTGCTCGTCTCTCGGCTTTCGGAAGCATGCACAACAGACTCCCCCCCCTGGGTTGCACTCAAGTGCATTGGATCGGCATGACATACAGAGGCTTAGGCCTGGGAGATAAATCGACCTGTGCAGCCTCGCTGTTCGCAACGCGTAGGTGGGTATTTGAGTATCACACCGCATGCTGTTGTTGAATTTTTTCCGCCCAGCTCTGAAGGCAACTGGGCTCCGAACTGCCAAACGGATGCCACACCAAATATTTCGACACATCATGGCGGTGTGACTTGCGAGGCGCTCTCACACTCTCGCTGTTCACTGCTGTGGCTGCGGCCATCAATCACAGCTACAGTAGTAGTAGCCCCCCCTCTACTGCTGCGGTGAGGGTCAATTCGTTATTTTACGGATCCAAGCAAATGGTGACCCACGGAACAAATTTGATGCCCAACTGACACCTGACACACAATGGCCTTCTTCCTGTGGCCACGAGAACGCAGGAACATGGATCATGCTGTCGCAAAAATATTCCGCGTACGACGCCTTACGCATACATGTAGCGTTGTATAAAATCCCTCTTGGTTCGCCAGAATATATGTTGCCTCTACTGCAGCTATTCATGCAACCCGCAGTGATAAAACTCTGTTGCGCGGATGTCGCATCCTGCTGCTGTCGTTTTGTTGGCGATGGAATCAAAGCCCGCTGCATACTTGCAAATACTGCTGTATGGTGTAGTGTTTTCGGTCCCAAACCCACCGCAAGCGCCAGTCTACCACCGTATACTTCGAGTACTACACAAGATAGCACACCCCCTGGACCGATTTTCAAAGCTCGATTGAACGCCACGTGCGTAAACGAAATGATACATTTTCGGAAAGCTCTCGACAAGGCGGCTTCAACGACGCCGTTTTCGGCCCTGCGACTCTCTCTGATGTCGAGAAATCGAGCTTTGAAAATCGGTCCAGGGGGTGTGTTATCTTGTGTCGTATACGGTACGTACATACCCCCGTCGGCAAGGGTGTTAGCCCCCGCGCCAAGCCACCAAACTTGTATCCAGGTTGGTGATATTTTGTTTTGCACCCACGGCCGTTTTCTAACTTTTTTAAACGGAGCATTATATCTGGTCCTTTCTCTGTAGGGTACTTTCCAAACGTTCGGAAGCCAGTGTTTGCGTCACCCTCTCCGTGTGACCGAAGTAGCTATGAGCCTGAACACGCGGGCGATAAGCTTTCTCTCGTTCACAAGCTACGGTGCATACGCACGGCTGGCTGAGCGCGTGTGGGTACAGTAGTCCGACGTTTGTGTTTTTTGCGTTATATCGACCAAACGTCCAGCGAAATACACACCCTTCCAACCATCGAGTAGCCCGGTCGTCCCCCCCACCTCCGTTACCGGCCAGGACAAGACCTTTAGTCCACCCTTGGTTCATTGTTTTGCCTCACGGGATGAGCGGTGTAGACTAAAGGGAAGGGAAGTTTGCTTCCTCTCACATGAGAGGCATGGAGTTCGACCCGAAGCATCGTTGGACAATCACGGGTGTCCAAAGCCTCCCTCCTGCAGAGATTGATCAACGCGGGTGTATTAGTCAGCTACCCTCGGTTTCCACGGATGTGCGACTCTCGAGCGTGCCGCTACCGCTGCGTGCCATCCATGGCTTCAGATTCGGCGCATGACAATGGCACAATTTTGTATACTTTTTTTTCGGGAGAATGCTCGCAGTTTTGGATGTTTCTGTGTTTTCTAGTGCTGTATTGGCGGTTCCGCTGACGCGTATCGAAGTACCTGTAGGAGAGGCCGGAGGCCAAGCCCTGTGTTTCTCGTGTTTGCTTGTTTATCCGTTGCTGACTCCAATGCTCTCCGTCCTGACTATTATGTCAACAAGAAGATGTCACCCCAAAAGGGATTGATGTGCTCAAGTGGTCCTGAATGTTTGGTACCATTTTGGTTTGTTGGTTCTATCTACACGCTGTAATGCTGTGGTGTCCTGGCTTCACAGCGGAGTTACAACCTCCCAATAAAGCGTCTCACACCTGTTGACTTAACCAGTGCATTTTTTCATTCACTTGCCGAGTGTTAGGACGGACTAACCTACGGCTTTCGGCTTTTTTCTGCCTTAAATCCCTGACTTCGTCGTTGGATTTACCAGCAACGGAGAAACCAAATCGTGAGAGTCACCCTTGTTCGATTAATTTGTGTTGAATACTTTCGGGGTTATTGCAATGCGACGCTGGACGTTTGTTCACTAGAATAGGGTCTGCTCAAGATTGCCAAGAAATTTCCCGCACAATGTGGAATTTATTACCTCGTCGACTGGAATCGTGATATCGTTTCTGTCTCTGCCTTTTTCGGTCTCTATCTGTCTCTGCCCTCCCTCTCTGAACTCTCTCTCTCTGTCCCTGTCGTTGTCTCTGTCTCACAGAACCCCTCTTGGCGGAATAGTATGGAGGACGCCCACGAGACGGTGGCGCACTTCGACGGTGACCCGTCCACGTCGTTCTTCGCCGTGTACGATGGACACGGAGGTACCCAACACTCGCCCCCCGCGCGCGCGGCCCCGACAGTTTCTCGTTTTGCTGTGCCGACTTTTTTTTTTGTTTGTTTTCGGTCCGTGACAGTTTGGCTACGGCTCGTGGATTGTTCCGGCGATTCTGCCCCCGTTGTGCGTAGGAAACACTGGACGGCGGGGTTTCCTGCACAGGTCGCCTAGAGTAAAATGCCTAGGCAGCAACAGAGACTAACGCGGCGCAATCAGTTACGTTTCACGAGGGATGTTGTGACTCGGGATCGACGTTTCGTCGGTGTCTTGAAATACAACGCCGACGGGGGGAGACCATGGCCATGGTTCTTACCCCGCCGAGTGTACAGATAGTGCCTTCGCTGTCCGGTTGGTCATGAAGTTCACCCTTGATATTCGTGGACACGAATATCGTAGTTCGTTCCAAGCCGGCGTGTTTCGGTTGTCCCGCAATGCATTGGGCCCCGTTGGGCTCCAGCCGTGTGTAGTGAAACACCTCAGCTGTTGTTGGTTGACCGTCGCTGCTCGGCCTTGAAGAAGAGGACAGCACTTGGAACCTTGAACATACACAAATTACAATCGACAACAGTCCTATTGATGTTTGTTTGGAGGCCTTGAGGGCAGGATCGTTTGCCAGGCACGGGGCATGACTTTTGCTTTCACGTTTCGTTTAGTAACGCCCTCTGTTGTTGCGTGCAATCATGCGTGTGCGTGTTCTTTGCGCCACACGTTGCTGCCCGCGTGTGGGGCTGCTGGTGCTGGTGCTGGTGCTGCTTCTGATGGCGCTGCTGTCGGTGGTGCTGGTGCCGGTGCTGCTGCTTCTGTCGCTGGTGGTGGCGCTGCTGCTGCTGCTGTCGCTGGTGGTGGTGGTGGGGCTACTGGTGCTGATGCTACTGCTGGTGCAGGTCGGGGCACGGTTGATTTCGTGTCGTCGCGGCTGGAGGAGATCCTTGCCGAGGAGATGAGAGCCGACAACACCAGCTCCATTCAAGAAAGAATCACGAGGTACGGTAGCTAGCGAGCGCCGTGCTGATGACGAGAGCGGCGTTTGCTTCGCAACCCTCTCTTGCTCTTGTTGTGACTCCCCTGTTCCTTAGGCGTCCGCTTTTTTTGTTTGTTTTTTGAGAATTTGGCGAAGGTGTGATTGCTCTGTATTTGCCATCCATTGCTTCCCCTAGTTACCCCCCTTCCACAGGATCCTCGTTGAATCCCCGCCCCATCTCAAGCAAGCTAGTTCTGTGACCTGGTCGAACGAGTGTGCTCCTTCACCCCTCCCCCCGCGGTTCCTGGGACGAAGCTCGCCCGTCATGTGGCTCTTGCTGAATTATCTCTCCACCGCGATGCGCTCTGGGTGCGCTCGGTGCAACGACAGACTCTTCGGCGATAACCCTACACGCTCTCCTTCTGGACTTTGTAGGGGTGTGGGGGTCTAACGCCTTAACACCACGGTCTTTTCAGGTGTTGAGCGCACCCAACCTCACCGTGCTACAGTATACCAAGCACGGCGGAGGTGAAATAGAATGTTCCCAGAACCTTCCTCACGATGACTCTCGTTGTCCGTGTCGAAATGCATACGCCGTCAATGTTCAGCTGGGTTGAGGCAAACCATCAACCTTGTAACCTGCCTGAGCGCGCCGGCACCGCCCCGCCCCTCCCGCCTGCGCTTCGAAATTGCCGTGCCGTGGCCCACAGGGCGTACGGCTTGACGGATTGCTTGTGTAAGGAGGCTTCCGTGCTGACGTCTGGGGCAACAGCTGTCACATGCCTACTCAGGGTGCGTACCATCTCGGGGGCATAAATCTGGGAAGCAAGGCACCATTTATGAAAACTGCTAAAGCAGGACTCAACAAAGCAGGACTCAACCCACGTTCCTGTGCGTTTTTTTTGTCCCACCCTGTCGTCTCCTGCTTCTTGCTCGTGACGTGGGGGTTGGTTGGCTAGAACGGAGATTTTTCACAGCAGCAGCGAACAAGCCTGCCAAGCGTGGCCGTTGCAGTGCCGCGCTAAGGTGCCAGGCGTGGCAGCGGAGGTATTACGCCAACCGGCTTGCCGGTGTCAGTCTCTATTGTCTTTGCCCCAGCAAGCAGTCACGCATTTGGATGGTCTGTGCAGTAGCAATCACATCACCTGTGACACTTTTTTTTGTTTTATTATTGTCGTGGTCGTCTATTCTTGTCAGGAGCAAGACGGGAAGGTCACGATACACGCGGCCAACATCGGGGATAGGTGAGAGTTTTGAGGGTTTTACGGCATGCCTTGCTTACCTCACGCAAGGGTAAGGTTGTCCCAGCCCACTCTACCTGGCCGATATTTTGTTCCGCCGCGGTGTGAACGGGGGGGCGCAAGACCGGATGAATCGACATGCGGAGTGTTTAGCCAGGACCTTCTGTCTGCACCCCTCAAATCGTATCCCCCCCCAACTCCCGTGTTTTGGGCATTCCAACTGAAACAACGTTTCCCCAGGAAGGCGGGAAATCTGCCCGCACTTTCCTGCCCTCGTGTCTCGCAGGCACTCCTCTTGCCAGTTTTCCGTTTACCCTTCGTTCCGTCCGTTCTTTGGGGGGGAGGGCTCTTTTTCACACCAGCATTGAACGGATGTTGTGCAGCTCTTGGAATTTCCGGTAGAGATGTTCTATTTATTCAAACAATACAATACCCGTCGAGATATTGGCAACACTGGGTCTGGAAGGCCGCTTCGTTTCCTTTGCCCAGGGTAAACAAATATGAAGACGAAAATGAAGTGTTGCAAACGGCCCCCGTCATCTACTCCGGAGCACGCAATATTTTGTGTGTTCGTGTGTGTTTTCTTTTCACAAAACTCAAGGCTTCTTTCCATACTGGTGTGGACATGGTTCGACTTAAGGAGATGTTTGTCCAGGCGACGTCCGCCTGTCCGTGGTCGGCTTTTGGGCTTGGTTGATTGACTGGTCTACGTGTCGCACGTAGAACGTTTGCAATATTTTTCGACCGTTGTGTTTTCGTTCTCGTCTGGCGCGGGCGACCACCCGTACGCCTACGTGTCATTTCACTTCTCTCTGCCAGGCTGTGCAGCTCTCGGAGTAACACGAAAATTTCCATGCGTGTCCCTTCAAAGCACCGCAGAGTTTCTCACGAAAATCGAGGCCTTGCGTAGTTGTCAATGCGTGGCGAAGGTCAGATGTAGACCTCACCTCGCGCTTCTCCTGCAGTCCTCTCCCCTCTCCCTTGCCCGCCGAGCGCTGACTGCTCAGAGGAGCGGTGTGGCGGGCGTTCGAAGACAGTGGGCGCCGCGATGCGGGTGAACTGCTGAAGTTTCATCCCTTGTCTCTTGTCGCTCAAGGACCGGGGGCGCTGCGATGCGGATGAACTGCTGAAGTTCGATCCCTTGTGTCTTGTCGCTGGAGGACAGGGGGCGCTGCGGTGCGGATGAACTGCTGACCTTCCACTCCTTGCCTCTCGCACGAATGATGACGTCACGCTTCCACGCCAGTCGAGCGGTGCTAGCCAGAGGCGGCAAGGCGGAGCGGTTAACCTACGACCACAAGGCGGAGGACGCGGCGGAACAGGAGAGGGTCAACGCCGCGGGTGGCTTCGTGCTGAGGAATCGTGTCCTGGGCATCCTGGCGGTTTCCAGGAGCTTCGGGAACCAGGGGATGAAGGATCTCGTGACTGCTGTGCCCCACGTCTCCGAGACAAGGTGAATGCTCTTTTTTTTTTTTTTATCACAAATTCATCTCCTCCACTAATAAAGAGTCGGGGATAGGTTTAGCAATGAGTTCATTGTCCGGGATAGGTTAGCATTGAATTCATTGCGTCAGCGGAAACACTAAACCCAACAAATGTATCCCTTCCACATTTGAAGATTCTGGGATATGTTGCCCCTGAAATCATAGCGTCAGCGCAAGTCTTTTCAATTTTTCTTTCGCGTTTCCGCGGGTTGAGTCCAAATAGACGCGTTGCGTGCTGGTTCGTGACCCAGGCAGGTTGTATGCATACGGTTTTCCTGCTGGTCTGTTCTTTTCAAGGTATCACGTTTGAATGATTTTTTTGCCCGCGTTTTCGCGCGAAGGCGTGGGCGTACGGTTAAGCGAGAAGCTGATATCCGCTACAACTTGACGCGGAATATACGGCGAAAACACCCTTACTTCTCGGCGAGTTATTGGTGTTCGTAAGCGATGTGAGTGTCTGATTTTGTTGGGAGCGAAGTTGTCGTTTGTGTGCTGGCTGAGGTTTACCTTCGCCGTACGCACGGTATTCCAAACACTGACGAAATTTTCGTGAAAATTAACAAAGTTGGAGAATCCGCGCGCGTGATCCGCACTCCGCGAAGAGTCGCGTAACGCTGTCGGTATTCACATTGATGTTGTGGGGGCCACCGGGCAAGTCTTGCGTGTTTCCATCTCTCAGGCGTGAACACTTTCGCACACAGGCCGTGCGCGAAACAATGAAACCAGTTTCAAACGGAGTGGGTGTTCGTCGCTTCTAATTCTGGCGCAGGTTTACACACCTTTCGGCGTATGTTTTTTAAAGTATCAGGCGGCGGTAAACAAGAAGGAGGTTACGCAAGAGCTTCGCATAATAAGTATATACATTTTTGTTTTGTGGCCCCTCCCATTGTGTGATGCCATATGATACTTGCGCTGTCTTTTTTTTTGCTGTCTTTTTCGCGGTCCCGTGGTGCCATCGATCCTTTCTTTTTCTGTGGGGCCCCCTTCGCTGTGTCGATTTTCTGCGCCCGCAGCGTTTGTCCGGATTGCACATTCCTGATCCTGGCATGCGATGGGGTTTGGGACGTCTTCACGGACAACGACGCCGTTTCCTTCGTAACGCAGGCGATGGAGACTATGGTGAGAGGGAGGGTGTTTGACCAGACTATTGTGGTTTTCATGCACCTTGTTCGGTTTCCTTTGTACTTCGTATCTTACCCAAGCGATGGAGACCGTGGTGAGAGAAGGGGCTGTGGGTTTGACTTTGTGCCTGTCATTCAAATCGTTCGGCAACGACAGTGATCCGTACCATTCACGTAACGGTGTATGCGAAACACGGGGTGATTGTTGCTGTGACGCTTACAACTCATTGCTAATTCCTCCGGGCTCTTGTAGGAAGATGAGAGATTGAAATCATTGTTTTTTCCCAAGAAATGAAGAAACCACAGCAGTCACCAACGGTTTCGGCGGCGTGTTTTCGACGATTCGACGTGGTTTCCGGCGGCGTGTGATGTACAATGCACACGAAGAATTGAGAGGCACCCGATTCTGAAGGGTCAAGAGAGTAGAAGGACACACTCCTTTTCGAGGCAACCGAAGAACGCGATCAGATATGCGTACGTCCCCGCATTTGTCGTAACTGCGGGCATCTCAAGTGAGCAGGACAATACCCACGGACGGGACAAACCAGCCACGGCAAAAACTGAAAGTCATCGCCGTCATCATCGACTTTCGCCATGTCGTGATAGCGCGTGTGAGGCTGGCATTTGAACGGCATTTGTACTGACCGTGTGGCACACCTAGTACCAACCAGAGAGATACATGTAAACGATGTCGTGAGATATTCCCCCGCACCTGTATCGCTTGTATTGTACAGTATTGTGGTTTTGAGAACGAAAGATTACATAGGCCACCGTTTTTTTGTTTTTCCGATCAAAGTTGTTCCGTTTCATCGTTTTCCCTTGCAAGATGTAAACCAAATACTGCAAGATGTAAACCAAATACAATATCAACCAACCGATCGACCTCACGAGTCATCGGGTGACCGGAAAAAAAAAGTACGGACTTTGGCGCACAGGACGTCAGCGGCAGGATTTGAACCTGCGCGTGAAATCACAATGGGTTTCGAATCCATCCCCTTAACCACTCGGGCACGCTGACTTGTTGACGACTAACATGCCTCGCTTGTTGTCCACGTCGTCGTCCGAAATTGGAGATGCCCTCCTCCCAAATTGGAGATCATCCTGGTGTAGACATGTCTCACACGTGTTGCAGTCCTATATTTGGGAAACGAAAAAATTCCGTCAAAAATTCTCGCCCCTGGTTTCAGCGGGGAAAATTTTGTTACTCCCCACCCCTTCGAGGAGATAATCCTGGTGTACATAGGCATGTTTCACACGTGTTGCAGTCCTATGGAAACGAAAAAAATCCGGTACAAAATTCACGCCCCCAGTTTCAGCGGGGGCAATGGCTGAGCCCGTTTATTTCACCACCTCGTGCTCCTCACGCAGACGTTGGCGTCCGACCAGCATAGGTAGGCACCTCAAGCAGGTCATACCCTCCACCGGAAAGCTGTTTATTCCCTCTGATTTTGCTCTGAACAGGAGAAATGCTGCACCATCACATCGTAGTCGTTTTTCCAAGTTTTACCTTCGTAGTGTAGACCAAGTCGACCCAAAACTGGAATGCCCTTGGCTTTATTGGTATTATACGTTTTTTCCCGCTATGCACAACTGAAGATCACCACTTTGGCGATCGGAGTCGGCCTGCAGGGGTGGACAGGAAGCCACCGAAATGATCTCTCCACTCCAGTAATCTATTCTACAAACCGCACCGAAAGTAAAAGACGCCAGTAATGCTCATGAACCTACCTCCAAATTTATCACGGAAATTAAATCCTGGAAGCACGCTCCGGCACTTGGAGACGAAGTTACACCATCGCAGAGTGCCCCAACCGCTCAAGAATCGAAAGGGGTATTTTTGACGCCATGCACCATTCGAGATCGCCATTAATGCGAGAGGTGGAGCAGGATCACTGAGAGTTCCTCGCGGAATACCCGCTTGGGGTTTGATTCCTTGGTGATATTTTGACCGTATAGAAAAAGGTGTGTTTTTTTTTCCATTGGCAGCAGTAAGTGTCGTCTATTTTTGCTTTTGCGACCAAGGCAGAATAGACCTCTTGCAGAAAAATCGAACGGCGGAAGAGTAGACTCGTGAGAATTTTGGTACTATTTTCTAGGTGGTTCTGTATCGATGTTTTGGTATTGGCTGCTCCGTTTCCTAGATGTCTCACTCTCGTCGCCAACGCCGCCAGAATCTTGATTTATAACTACAAGCTCCGGAACAGGGAACAGGGCGACTGGATCGCGTTTCTTGGCAAGACTACCTTGCGCTTTTAATGCAAGATCAGACTATTGACTTTGTTTTGTCGCTTTTTTCGTATGTTTTTCAGGCCGAGGCGGACGTGGCAGGCGCGCTGCTACGTGAATCTCTAGCAAGAGGAAGGTGGGCCGATGGAAATCGTAGGAAAAGCAGCGATGTCTGCGCTGATTGTTGTTTTTGGGCGTCGTCGTCGTCTCTGGTGTTTGGGGTACTGGTTGCAAACATTTTCGGGGGCGGTGCGAGCGCGGTTACTTCCATCAGGCGTGAAGGAGTAGGAATGGGTAACCCACGCGCGGTTAATGGGACAGCTATTGATTTTTTTTTAGATCCTGTAGCCAAGGAGTGAGACGTTCGGACCATAATAATAACAAGAATAACAATGGAAGAAACCAAACCCAACATCGTACTTCACAACGGCGCTCGCATCTGATGTGCGGTTGTTGTTGTCGAGTTGTGCTTCGGGCGTGCGTTCGGTGCCGTCGCTGCTTCTAGGTCGGCTTCCCTTGCTTTTGGTGCTAGCTATGTTATCGTCGTTCAAATCAATTCAACATTTTTGCGACACCTCCCATTGTCCTGTTTCGCTGTGTAACGTTTCGTGGGCCCCTACATCGTTTTTCCAGCACGGATAACATCACCGTCGTGATCGTCTTCTTCTGAAGCCTCTTCTGAAGCTGAAGCCTTTCGGTTTTCGTGGTTGTCGGGGCGGCCTGTTCTTTTGCACAACCACCGAATGAAAGCCAGATGTAGAAGGAGGTTAGCGCTCTTTCTCGTTACTTTCTATTCACCCTCTAGCCTAAGAAGCGGCTTCGGCGATATGGCTTCCGTATGCGGGATCCGTCTAGTCAAGACAGCGAAACAGTATTTTAAGGTCACGCCAGGGCCGTATGATTGTTCAGCTGGTACAAGATATCCGCAATCGTTGTGTGGCAGAACGGGTGGTCTTTTTTAGAGTAGCAGGTGTTTCTTATGCGAAGGGGGCGTGAGGATCTGATGTTCATTTTTACTCCCGAGGTTGGCCGTGGGTTCCGTCTTTAATTTGCACGCCCGGTGTCCTTGGCGCATAGCGGTTGAGCAAACCCTCGCTTGGTTGTGCTGCAGACACACTGCTCGCTGCTCGTGCATCTTGTAGTATAGATTCGTACCTGACGCGACGTGAATAGCATCGTCCCGAATAAACTCAGCTGTTTGTTGAATATGTTCTGTATATCAAATCACCGTTGTTCGCGCGGGCTCTCTGTGGCACTCACGTAGGCTGCAACATCCCACCTAAGAAGCTCAGCTTTTTGTTGAATATGTTCGGCACCAGAAAGAACACCGTTGTAACGTTGAGTACTTTGTGGCACGCATGTAGGCCGCAAGTTTAGAGGTCATAGTTGATTGCCGCAGATGGCGAAAAAGTTCTGTGTAGGATTGGGTATTGTGCTCTGGCGAAAGGTGGTTGCGGTAGACTACATCGTAGCATGTCTATTGGTTTCAAAGGGAGGGAGGACCGCTTGGTATTTATCTGGCCGATCATGAGTAGTTAGTAGTGCATGACGGGGTTAGGTTCTGCGGCGTTCTCGACATTACCACAGTGCGAAATTCACCATTGTGTGCACCACACCATTTTGGAATCCCTTCCCACTCCTACAATGCTCACAAGTTCTCAATGAACGCGCCGAGTCGTGAGTACACCGAGAAGGGACTGAGGCACCAAATTCGCGTTATACGTTGAAAGGGATGCACCGCAGGAGGAAATGTGGACGATTCCTCGCTTATGACCCCGGTTGGTGCATGAAGCATTTGCCGGACACAAAAAGCTCTCGAAGAGGCTTCGCAACCGCCCGCGTGCGTTCTTTCTTTGGCAAACACTGGTTTTCGCTTCCCCTCCTGTGACCCTGGATGGTTGTAGCTGTACGAAAAAATACGTTGAAAAGTGTAGTATTCTTTCTACACTGCGGCCGCATTGTACCCTAGTTCGCTGAAAAGTCTCACCACGTAAAATAGGGGGACTGTCGCCAAAATAAATAGGACGAAAACACGCACACAACACCTTCCCACCCATCTCGTTCTTCACTGGCTAACGAATACTACACATTTTTGCTATGAAATCTCCGGCGAAAGAGCAAGGGCATCGCTCTAAAAAAGCACGCTTCCCTGACCAAGCAGAACCAATGCCATGCATGAGGGACCTCTCCCAAAGTAATGTGTCTCTTACGCTTGCTACTGTAGCGCCGTGATGACGACCTATTTATGTACATGATCAAACCGCACACACCTGAGCAGACCCGGGAGAATTCCTGAAGGTAAATGGAAGGGTACGAGAGAGCTCATTGTTCCAATCACCCGGAAGCGGAATGGTGAACAAACACTAAATAAAGTACATCCTAACAACTAGCGATGATAAAATGTGGAGGCAACAGACGACAAGACACTTGCTCGGCTATGAAAACATCACCTTTCGGAAGAAGTCTTAGATTGCTCCCGCGCTTACTTCATACGGTTACGAAATTTTCACAAGCAAGCCAGACACGGTTCCACGCTCACCCGTGGGCAACTTATTCAACACAACGCGGTGGAATGTGAATCTCGCCACCAATCAATCCCATCACTTTGAACAGAAATTATAACCGTGGTAGCCATGAAAAGATAAATCGTGAAACGTCAATGAGCGAAGGTTGATACAACGGCGTCGTTGGTTCGACTTACCTCAGCAATAGTCTAGATGTTTCCTTTACCCCGGCTAGTGGCGAGTCACAATCCATCGATATGTAGAGCTCATCTCACAAATACTCCGAGGACAGGATTGCTTGCCTCTGCCCACTTAGTCTAGACTATGAAATCCCGCCGCATGTAAAACGGACAGAGTGTAAAACAGACATTACCGTAGTTACGTGCCGCACTTCCCGCGTTGCCGATCTTTCCCCCAATTCGTTCAGAACACACTCACTCACTCACTCCCTCTTCCACCCCCTGAAGGCGGCCGCTTCTTCAGCGGATGTCACTCTCAAGGTAAGCCCATCTGCACTCGAGTGGTATGAGTCCAGGCAGTTCTCGAACCTGTACATGTAGACTGTCCTAACACTGCCAACTCCTGGGCGGCATCGTGCGACGTAGATAGATGTTGCATGTATTCTGTAGATCGAGCGTCATCTGGGAGTAAGGTCTTGGCAATAGGAACACCATCGTGCGCCTCCCCGATCATGACCGAAAAAACACTGCTGGTACACGAAAGCGGGTGATGGCGCACGTTGACACCAGCAGTGCTCGTGCGCTGCCCGACGGTGCTGATCGTTCATGCACTACAGCGGTAGCTCACGAAACCCTACACATCGCCTGCTCGTCCTGTGATCTTTCGACATCATCATCATGATGTACAGACAATATGTGTACTACGCGCGTTCCTGATGACGTGCTTCAACAAGAGGTGGGTGGTGTTGAGGGCCTTTCAGCGGCAAGAAGGATCTCTTCCTTTGGTACCACTTCAGAAGAGCTTGGAACAAGGCATAAGTCATGATACTCGCGAGTTATGTAGATCTCAAAGGTACCAGAGGCAGGACTTTATTCGACTAATCCCGCCGCGCTGCCGCGCATGTAAAACGAACAGAGTACGAACTCGTAGTCTCCGTCGCACCGCCCGCTACAACTTACAAATGAATGCCAACCACAGATTGTGCTCAGCCTTTCAATGACGACTATCCCATGAAATGATTTCTGTCGGCGAGCGCCACATAGCACGGTGGTGGTAGAGTTTCCCCAGCGTTATGACACAACGAATCCACCTCTACCATAGAATTTTTTGTTTTACCCAGGAGGGCCTTTTGGATCACGGATCTCCTGCTGTGGGTGGGAGATGCGGGTTTTCACTGCAAATAATGTGCATGTTCTTCTCGTTTCACCTCCGTTTGCCAAAAAAGCTAAGAAAAGTGAGAGGGTAGGAAAAGGGCCGCTGTTGCTGCTTCATGAACTGCAGCATTACTACTTTGCGTTGGCTGGATTGGCTCAGGGTACTTGTGCATCGTGTCAAGGTAAGAGAAGAGTTGCACGCGGTTTCTAGACGGTTCGCTGCGGCCGCCGTTTCTATTCCGGCAGACCCCGCGGTGTAGGCGGTGTGGCAGTGTGGTGTGGCGGTTACGAGACTTCTTTTGGGTTCACGTTCGTTCGCCGAACGAGAGCAATGTATGCTCCAGCTGCGTCCTCACCAAGATAAAGCTGGAGTATGCGCATGTACCATGTGATACCACTGATGAGTTCAGGTAGCCTTTGCTTGACCTTTTGGATCGGATACCTGTGTAGGTGCTCGAGCACCGCGGACGATTGGACTCGATTGCCGGCGCGTCAAAGAGGGCGTGTGGTTGGGATGAATCAACAACATTTTATGTACAGCTCAAACGAACAAAACCGCAACAAGACACAGATGGTTTATTGGTAGAAGTAATACACGGGCCCCTGTCTGGTATTCAATGCCAACGAGATGTCTATTCTGGAGATATGGTGAGATTAGAAACTCCCTGGAGTCAAATGGTTAACTCTGGCAACATCGGCATGTCGGTTTTGCTCGTTCCAGGTGTGGCCAGTGACAAGCACCATGAGTTGCGCGACGAGAGCATGTTTCTTGCTGGTGTGTACACCAGGAACACGCCAGGAAGAAACATTCTCTTGTCGCCCAACCCATGGTGCTTGTCACTGTGCCACTTCCCCGTGACCATCCCTTGACTTGTTCGCCGGGACAAAGCGCTGACGTCGCCAACAGAGGGACTCTTCCTTATCCGGCGACGGAAGTTTCAGGCAGCACTTGCAGTTTGATTATGATTTAGGGGTCCATGTAAGCGTCAATCGTATAGATTTTGTCGGTAACAGTCAGGCAGAGACGTTCAATCGCGTTGATGCATGCATGACTGAAGATTCCTCTTCAACAGCGCCTGAGTCTGCCACTATGCTGCGGGGCGATATTGATAGACATGGACAGGGCAGCGTTATGCCTGCCCCCCTCCCTTGAGCGGTTACCTTAGTAATTGACCCCGAGAACACCCCCCCCCCCCCCTATGGTAGAGGTGGTGGCTCTTCGGCACCTCTTTCTTGGCGATTGGCGAGCGCCCCCCCGCTAGGGCCAGATAAGTTCTGCGATGCATGCATTCATGACCGCGATCTATGTTCGGCCGTGACTATATGTACTTCGAATGAAAATCCCCAAACGGCACCCCTACACGTGCTTGCCTTGAAACATTTCTTCGCCGGGAAAGAGAGGGTCTCTTTGTCCGCGTCATTAGCGTTTGTCCCGGTGAAGGGAGTCGAGGAATGCTCGCTGAGACTCTTCAGGTTCCGGTGAAATGTGTTGTTTTCGTATTTGCATTGGTCCTGACCAACACAAGACAAGCCGCCGCCACCAGGGAAGTCTAAGCGAGCATCCCTCGGCGCCGTGCTGTTCGCCGGGACAAACGCTAACGACGCCAACAAAGAGACTCCCCCTTCAAGGGACATTCAAAGGCAAGAGCGCGCAGGTGCCGGTTTGAGTGTGGGTTTGGAGCCCATATCTGTCAGTAGCCCCGAGCAGAGGCGTTTTTCAATCGCGCCCATGCGTGCACGCCTGCAGACTTGTTTTCAACAGATCCTGAGTCTGTCAAACCACTTTAGCTGCAATCGCATAGTCGTAGATGGGGACAGAACAGTGTCATGCCCCCCGCCCCCGGCCTGAGCACGTCGTCCTCCGCTCCCCCCCCCCCATGGTAGAGTTGGCACTCTCTCTCCTGGGGATTGGCGGGCGCCTCATCGCCG